GCATGTCCTGTCCTTCTTGAGCTATTATCCCCACATATATAGAACATGCATTTAGCCCTTAGGTTACCTTTCACATAGAGGTTTTCTTATGCTTCTGTAACCAGTGGTTTGTTTTCCCCCCCCCCCACTCTTGGTAGCAACTTCATTACATAAGAATTTATTCTCAGTCCTGAGCTCTGCAAATGATATACCTTGGATGAAGCAAAAATTGTAATTCAATTTAGGCTTACCAAGAAATATATTCCATTGAATTCGAGATGTATAGGCCTATAAAATAGTGCTGTGGAATATATTGATGTTTGCACCTTTTTGCCTTTTGGAGGTCCTGGTTTTAAATAACCAGGATAATACTAGCAAGGAGCTCTAATTAGCATTGCTTGCTATAGAGTAAACACTTCCTATAGTTGCAGAATGAAGCACAATGACTAAATGATGCCATGTGCATATAACTAGTTCTTTAAATGAAGTTAACTAACTCATGTCTTTGTTTTCTTCAATCATCTGTAGCAGGAAATCTAGATAGACCATATTTCTACTCAACATATAATGGATAACACATTTTTTTACCAGAAAAGCAACAAATAGATTTTCTTCCAATACTGCTCATAGACATATGAGGCTATGCTAGTAAACAATCAAGTGGAATTTTCTTGCTCTAGATCTTCCTTCCTTCCTTCCTTCCTTCCTTCCTTCCTTCCTTCCTTCCTTCCTTCCTTCCTTCCTTCCTTCCTTCCTTCCTTCCTTCCTTCCTTCCTTCCTTTGCATGTTATGCCAAAGAGATGCCTGAAAGAATAGTAACAGTAAAAATGTTTCTTTGAAGGAGGACAAAATCAACATTTTATTTAGAAGTATTTTTCTGACCAATCCTTAGTGCTCTCTGAACTTCGTTGTTTTCTTGAAGACATTTTATTACCCAAACTAGGTAACATAGGCTGAGTAATGAAACATCTGCAAGAAAACAACCAAGCTCAGAGAGCATCATGGCTCCCTCATTTAAATTCTGAGCTACAAATATTCTCCTTTATAAGTATTTTTCTCTCCAGTTTTTGTTTTATTTGGTTGTTGTTTCTTCTTTGCCTCAACTTTTCTACTACACCTTTGATTGTATACCATTGCTAAATTTTATACAATCATTTTCATGGATGATATTCTTTGGGACAGTGTTCTTATCCTTCCTGTTTATACCAATACCCTAACCTTGAGTATGTAACTCAGCATTTTATAAGTAGCACCCCCTGTTATTGTTTCTTAATGGTGAGAATATCTTTCTTTTATTCCACAAAGGTGAAGGGTTTCTGGCTTGATCTTCTAGTACAGGGGTGTCAAACTGCCCGCCTGCGGGCTGGACGCGTCACGCGGAAGCTGCACCCACCCCATTGCCGGCAATGGCAAAACTGTCCCGATACATTGTGTGACATCATGTGACGTTGCGAGTTTGACATGTCTGTCCTAGTGGCTTAGAATATACTCACAATATTAAGGAAGGATTTAAAAAAAAGGCATTTAGAAGTGTAACAAAATGAAATTCAATGGTGAAAAAAGTAAGGTTCTACATTTAGGCAAGTAAAACCAAATGCACAGGTATAGTATAGGGGGTACCTTTCTCAATAGTAACAACTGTGAGAGGGATCTTGGAGTCCTAGTGGACAATCACTTAAATATGAGCCAGCAGTGTGCAGCAGCTGCCAAAAAGGCCAACACTGTGCTAGGCTGCATTAACAGAGGGATAGAATCAAGATCACGTGAAGTGTTAATACCACTTTACAATGCCTTGGTAAGGCCACACTTGGAATACTGCATCCAGTTTTGGTCACCATGATGTAAAAAAGATGTTGAGACTCTAGAAAGAGTACAGAGAAGAGCAACAAAGATGATTAGGGGACTGGAGGCTAAAACATATAAGGAAAGGTTGCTGGAATTGGGTATGTCCAGTTTAATGAAGAAAAGGACGAGGGGTGACATGATAGCAGTGTTCCAATATCTCAGGGGTTGCCACAAAGAAGAGGGAGTCAAAGCACCTGAAGGCAGGGCAATAAGCAATGGATGGAAACTAACTAAAGAGAGAAGCAACCTAGAACTAAAGAGAAATTTTCTGACAGTTAGAACAATTAACCAGTGGAACAGCTTGCCTCCAGAAGCTGTGAATACTCCAACACTGGAAGTTTTTAAGAAGAGACTGGATAGCCATTTGTCTGAAATGGTATAGGGTTTCCTGCCTGAGCAGGGGGTTGGACTAGATGACCTCCAAGGTCCCTACCAGCTTTATTATTATTATTATTATTATTATTATTATTATTATTATTATTATTATTATTATTATTATTATTATTATTATTATCAACATCAACATCAACATCAACATCAACATCATCTTTGAGTTCTTTCTTCCCCATAGTTATTCTTTACTCTGAGTACGTGTAACCTCAAATTTAAAGTTATTTAAATCACAGATGAGCAATCTGCCACCCAAGAGTCACACTAAGTTCTCTAACTTCATTTTTGTGAATCCCTGAAGCACCTCTAAAAAATCACATTAGAACCAGTTTGGTGTAATGGTTAAGGTGGTGACCTAGAAAGCAGAGGACTATGAGTTTTAGTCTCTTAGACATGAAAGACAACTGGGTAACTTTGAGCTAGTTGTTGTTAAGGGGAAAATAGGCGAAGGAAGGACTATTAGGTATGTTCTTCACCTTGAGTTATTTATAAAAATAATGAAGATGGGAAAATTAATTAATTAATTCAGTAAAATCCAAGCCATCCCTCATTCTCTCTATGAAATCCAGGCATTTCAGATCTGTTGCTGAAATAATTCTGCATGGCAATCTCAACTGCTTATGTTCCATGCTGCTCCAGCTGTTCTCGTATCTGACCCTGGTCCTGACTGTAGTGATATTACAGTGAGGCGTGCTTGGTATTTAATCCAGGTTATAATCACCACTGTCCTTGACTGGTCATTCAGTTTCTTCCCTTCTGAATGTCGTGGGGAAGGCAAATCTCACTGGCTGCACCCCAGCCCAATCACATTTACCATCTCCTGCTTATTCCTTTTAGAGGTCATTTCTTTTCTTTCTCCAGATGTCTGCACAGCTGGATACCTTTATGCCCCCTTCTCACATTCTCTCACTTGACACTAATGAACATCCTGGCTCCCCACCACTATGTTGTATTGTACTATGCTACATTGATACTATATTGATTAAAATAAAGGGAACATGGCCCCTTACTCATTTGTTCTACTATAGTCTGTAAAAACATCGTGGAAGCAAAAAAAGTGATGGTTAACTTCATAAAATGTGGACTTTGTAGCTTCATTCTTTTGTTTGTATGCTGATCCTTAGGTTAGTATGATTCATACAGGCAGGTAGAAATTGAAAAGGTGAATCCTGGGTAAACAGATGTATACTAGCAAAAGAAAGAGGGAATACATGGTGCTCAGGAGACTTGACTGGATTCTATGACTCTTATAAACTATTATTAGATCAACTAGGAAAAGCAAAAACTGACCAGCTGTGAACATAGCATCCTAGTAGCCATACATGGCTATTCTGAACCATATAGCTCCATGTAATCTCGTATAGCTCTATGTAACCCTAACTAGAGAACACGTATCAGTATGTTAGTAATAGGTCAGTGGGAGGAGTTTCTAAAGGGCATTGAGAGACTTCCTGGACACTAGCCACTTGGGGGTTCTTTGTTCGTCTTGTGCATGGCATCCAGCCACACGGCTGGAGATCCCATAATCATCCCACCATGTGACACTTGGGCAGAAGAGGGGAAAATCCAACATCAAATTATCTATGGGAATGAACAGAGAGGTGTTAAGCCAGGAGTAACCTCGTAGATCCAGGTATTTCTTCTGCAATAAACATTATCTGTTTTAAAATCATTTCTATTGAGTAGTCTGTCTGCCTCAGATTGAACAACCTGGCTAGGCACCAGCCGGTGTTCTGTTCTGTCTGGGTCAGAACAGTAATTTGATGTCTGGGTCAGAACAATGGCAGTCACCAACAACCATGGGAGCAGATATGTCACGTGCTGGGTCTAATTCGAGCTGGAGAGGACATTAATCTGGAATGAAGCATAGGGAACCAATCACTTGGAAGAATTTAACATAGCCCAGGATGGAAACAGGCCCTTTGAAGCAACATTTCAAAACATAGATAAGAGAAACCTTTACAATGAGCTGGAAGTGGGTAGTAGATTATTCCACCCATTGCAGTGCTGGAAAAATACAAAAGGGTAGGCCATACCAGTGATGGAACATGAATAAAATATGGATCTGATCACTGTGCCATTTTTTGTCTCCTCTGCTTTCAGAAAATTAAAACAAAAAAACCTGAAGACAGCCTCAAGATTACTTTCCCAATTAAAAATCATCACACCATCATGATTATGGGAATACAGCAGAATTTGTTTTTCTTCTTCTTTCTTAAAATAATGTATACATAAGTGTGAATGTATAAATTGACTGGCCATTTCTTTCCTATAAATTATCATATTATTTTTCAAAGACATAAAACAAATATGTTATTTTGACATGCATCAGGCCTATGTCATCTTAGATATCGATGCTAGGTTCTGGGTTGTTATTTCAGAGAAAGTTGGACTTGAGATTTTATTTGGAGTGTGGGTGTGGGTCCAGCCTTTTGTACTGAAAAGTATTTAACCTCCAAACCTCTCAGAATGATTGGGTGAAGAGCAATTACTCCAGTTCAGGAGAAGAAAGTGACTTCCCCAATGTGGAGTAAGCCACAGTTCTAGCACAACCTTTCTCTCTTTTTAAGGATAAGCTAAATTATCTTGGAAATTAGAAGCAGTGCATGACCCAATAGTTCTCGGTTTTTAGACTAGACAGTTACTGTAATATTTCAGTGGATTAGAGTGACCTTTTTAGTAGCTGGTTTATGTATACTAAAACATACTAATAGTTTTTTTTCCTCACCAAAATTGAAGGAAACACTAAAATGTGTTTAATTTATTGTACTTTGCAGACGCTGTTGGATTACCATGAAGCTCTGGATAATCGCATTAAGTTTAATGGGGGTTGCTTGTGATGTGCTATATTCTGAACTAGCATCCTCTTCAACTATTGGCTCTTGCGAAAACTTGTGTTTTTGTGAAGAAAAAGACAGCATCTTAATCATAAACTGTGAAGAAAGAGGCATCAAAGAGATATCTCGAGTACATGTTCCACCATCCCGGCCTTTCCAACTTAGTCTTTTAAACAACAGTTTGACTATGCTACAGGTCAATGATTTTGCCAGCTTTATCAATGCTGTCACATTGCATCTTGGATTTAACTATATTGTGGACATTGAACCAGGGGCATTTAATGGGCTAAGTCACCTTAAACAACTCCATATCAACCACAATTATCTAGAAATACTTAAGGAAGACACTTTTCATGGGCTAGAAAGCCTGGAATTCCTTCAAGCAGACAACAATTTCATCACAATAATTGAATCAAGTGCCTTCAGCAAGCTCAACAGGCTTAAGGTGCTTATTTTAAATGACAATGCCATTGAATTTCTTCCTCCCAACGTCTTTCGCTTTGTTCCATTAACTCACCTGGATCTTCGAGGGAACCAACTGCAAACATTACCTTATGTTGGTTTTTTAGAACACATTGGCCGAATTCTAGACCTCCAGCTAGAAGACAACAAATGGATCTGTAATTGTGACCTACTGGAGTTAAAGAGTTGGTTAGAAAACATGCCTCCTCAGTCCATAATAGGGGATGTTGTGTGCCACAACCCTCCCATTTTGAAAGGTAACATATTAAGCAGATTAAAAACAGAATCACTCTGTCCAACTCCACCCCCAAATGACCTTGATTCTCCATCAGGGTCATTGCCTTTGGTGATTACAACATCAATAAGCGATAGTCATTCCTCAACCAAAGTAATACCTATTTTTAAAACTCCCACGAAGGAATCCAGTTTAACACCTCATGTTACAAAACCAGCTACTCTGCTTCCTGGAGTATATTGTCCTATACCTTGTCAGTGCACAAGCAATATCCTTTCAGGGATATTGATGCAGTGTCAGGAACAAAATATCGAAAGCTTGTCAGATTTAGGTTCTCCTCCTCCCAATCCTATAAAGTTGATTCTTGCGGGAAATATAATCCAAACATTACTGAAATCAGATCTTGTGGGTTATGACAGTCTAGAAATGCTTCATTTGGGAAACAATCGTATTGAAATATTAGAAGCAGGATCCTTTATAAATCTCACTGAATTGCAAAAATTATATCTCAATGGCAACCATCTCACTAAACTAAGTCGGAATTTGTTTTTAGGCCTGCAACGCCTTGAGTATTTGTACCTTGAATATAATGCCATCAAGGAGATTTTACCTGGTACTTTTAGTCCAATGCCAAAACTTAAGGTCCTATACCTAAATAATAATCTCCTCCAAACTTTACCATCTCATATCTTTTCTGGAGTTCCGCTAGCCAGGCTGAATTTAAAAACCAACCAGTTTGCCCAATTGCCCATAAAAAATGTCTTAGATGATCTAGATCTACTGGTACAAATTGAATTGGAAGACAACCCCTGGGATTGCACTTGTGATTCTGTAGGGCTACAACAATGGATACAAAAACTGAATAGGAATACAATGATGGGAGAAATTCTCTGTACTTCTCCAAGACATCTAGCTAAAAAGGAACTGAAATCTCTGAACAGTGATATGTTATGTCCCACTTTAATGAACAGTCCAGCTATCCCAACTCATCCTAGCTTTCTAATCATCACAACATCACCAACTACCACCAGTACAGTAGACACTATTCTGAAATCGCTCACCGATGCTATCCCTCTCTCTGTTTTAATCCTGGGGCTCTTGATTGTGTTTATAACAATGATTTTTTGTGCAGCTGGCATTGTTGTTCTTGTTCTACATCGGCGGAAGCGGCACAGAAAGAAACAAACGGAAGAGCAGGTACGGGACAACAATCCAGTTCAGCTTCAATACAGCATGTATGGTCATAAAACCACACACCATACCACCGAACGGCCAGCTTCAACTTTGTATGAACAGCGCATGGTCAGCCCCATAGTCCAAGTTTATCAAAGCCCACCTTTCAACTCCAAATTTGCAGATCATCGAGATGAAAGGAATGATAAGGAGGGGAATGATTCCAAACACCTTCGACGAAGTCTCTTAGAAAGGGAGCATTCTTCTCCTCTCACTGGTGGTCCAAATGTCAAGTACAAGGCTACAGACCAATCAGCTGATTTTCTCTCCTTCCAGGACGCAAGCTCGTTGTATAGGAATATTCTTGAGAAGGAGCGAGAACTCCAACAATTGGGGATAACGGAATACCTTCGGAAAAGCATTGCTCAGCTACATCCTGAGATGGAAGTACATTATCCAAGAGCTCACGAAGAACTAAAGCTGATGGAGACACTTATGCTCTCCCGGCCGAGAAAGGTTTTACTAGAACAGACTAAAAATGAATATTTTGAGCTCAAGGCCAACTTGCATGCTGAACCTGACTACTTGGAGGTTTTGGAACAGCACACATGAAACAAAACACCACCTTTGAAGGCTTTGAATCAGAAACTCTTAGGTTTGTCTTACATTTGGAACTTTGTAAATAAAAGTGCCTTATAATAATGTGTCACCAATCAGAACTTTAAGCACAGCAGTAATCTGAGTGAAAAGAAGCTCTCAGGGATAACTGTGTGAAGCCATGGGAAAGTTTTCAGGCTATGTATCTCTTACCCCCATATTAAATGTGAACTCTGTGCAACTGGATTCTGGGAAGAAATTCAGTTTACTCGGCCATATTCCTCCAGGTGTGTATTGCAGTCCCTAAAGTTTCTTTTTTAATTGTTGATTTTGCTAAACAGACATTTAAAGCATTTGTTTTTTCTCAGTTCCCTTCTTATTTTTCCCATGTATGCAATATTTAATTAAAAACCTTCAAGGATCTACTTAGCCAGCTACTAGAAACTAGGGAACATTAGTTATGGATGAGTCCATGTATATGAACAAATTGCACATGGCAATAATACATAATAATTATAAAGGGAACTATATGTTTTTTGTTTCAAAAGAAAAAAAAAATCATTTGTGAGCTTCCAAGGACTGCAGTATTTAGGTACCTTTAATTTGGAATGTTGTTTATATATATATAAAAAAAAGAGGATGGAAAGGGAAAGTGGTATATTAGGCAGGAATTTAAAAGGTATAATGGAAACCTTTTGTTACTTTCCCTCTATGGCATTTTTAATCACATTTTCGGACAATCTTCAGTATAATGCTGCTATAGACTCCTGTGCAACATTGGATTGACACTTGTACTTGGGAAGTTTGAAACGCTACTGAGAATTTAATGTAAATATATTAGTATATTGATGCACCCAATTTTTATTTTTATTGTATTTATATGATTGGCTCCTATGATAATTTTTGATAACATCACTTTGCTGTGGCCAGTAAATTTCAGACTGCAAGTCAGACAAGAAATAAGCCATTAGAACTTGTTTCTGGATATAAACACACTGTCTTTGCCATAATGACACGGCAAAAAATCATTTCTCAGCCCTTCCCCCCCCCTGCCCCAAACAGGTCTGGTTTAAACAAGGTAGGCATGTAAAATAAAGAAAAGTCATAAACCTGGGAAGTTGCATTGAAAATTAGTTATTGAAATCTTATGGATACATCCTTAGCATATATCAGAGATATGTGCTTTTGCAACATTTGTACGGGTATGCTAACTTTGCATACATAGATGTCAGTGGCTAACCATGTAAAGGTTAGCAAATCCAGTAGATCTCCACAGCTTGGTGTGTGTATAGAATTGTGGTCAAGTTTAAATGCCATGGTGTTCTTTGTCATACTTGATCTCACATGTAAACACAGCTCACATATAATGTGGTCTAATCTACAATCCTAACTTTGCTTCTGAGAAAAAAGAAAATCGTTCAATCCAATTCTGACTATTTCACAAGTCTGTCACTGTGTTTCCAAACACAGATTTGCTGCACTCACAATTTGGATCTCTCTCTCTCTCTCTCTCTCTCTCTCTCTCTCTCTCTCTCTCTCTCTCTCTCTCTCTCTCTCTCTCTCTCTCTCTCTCTGTGTGTGTGTGTGTGTGTGTGTGTGTGTGTGTGTGAGAGAGAGAGAGAGAGAGAGAAAACAAAGTGTAAGCAGCACAGCAAATCTGTTGAAATCAATGGAACATAGCACTAAAATTATGCTTAGAATTAAGGAGACAAGAAGCAAGACAAATTTATTTTACTATAAAGTTTAGTTAGAGTTATTTGTATTATTTATTCTGTACATTTTGTATCTTTTATGTTTGAAGTTACAATTATTATTCTTGGGTGCCTTTCAAGCAAATCAAAGAACTTAATCATGATAAATAAAACTGACAATAAAGGGATTTTTTTTTAAAAAAATGTTTCTTTGTATTAAGACTCCCTTTTTAATTTTCTCTCTCTTTTTTTAAAGTAAGCACAGCATGCATGAGTTCAGATCCATTCTGAAATCAAATTGGAGGCTTCTCTCCATTGCCATGCATACAGAAGTTTCTTGTTCTGGGGTTAAGACGGCAGTTAAATACCAGTGTATGATTGAAAAAGTGCCAAAATGGTAATCTGACCTGCATTTCCCCCTCCTGATTAAGTTACTCTTTTGTAAACCAGTCACCCTTTGATAAATATCTCCTTACACACTTTTGTGCTGAAAAATCAGAAGGAGCCTAGTAGCATCTTCTCTTAAAGATCCTAATAAATACTAACTGGGAAATGTCTATATATGTGACGACAGTCAGACTTATTAATTGCATCTACCATAAATAAATAATTTTAATAGTGTCCCTCCTGATTGCTTACATAGTAACTTTGGCTTAAATATAAAGTATTGATTTTTGTAGAGAAAGTTCATGCCTGGAAAATAAAGAAGAAAGACATGAACACCAAACATTTCATTCATTTATCTGATGCAGTACTACAGAAAGCAAACTATATCTTCACATCTGCTTGACTACTTATTTATGTTTGCACTGGATTTTTGTTAATATATTCCGAATCAATATTCTCCCACTGATACCTCCAAGAATGTTGAACAACTCTCAGAATTATATGTGAGCAAAAGTCGGTCAAAGTATTAGACTCCAAACAATGAATATAGAGACATGAAACAGTGTAAGAACCATCCTTTTATTGAGATGAAGCATATTGCTCTGAAGCTTTGCTATAGTTAAAGGATTGTGTACTTTACTTAGAATCTTAACAGACTGAATGAATACAGAGATTATATCTCTTGTCTCCATTTCTACCCGAATGAAGTACCAACGTCTGGGTTGGGTTCTATAAAAGGTAAAAGTTTTCCTGTCGATGATGTCTGACTGTAGGGTGTGGTTCTCATTTCTGTTTCTTGGCTAAGGGAGCCAGCATTGTCCAAAGACAAATTCCATAACCATGTAACCAGCATGACTATATGCCAAAGGGGCACATAATTCTGTTATTTTCCCACAAAAGTGATACCTATTAATCTACTTGCATTTGCATGCTTTCAAACTGTTATGTGGGCAGGAGGTGGGACAAGAAACAGTTGCCTGAAGCTCAGGTCTCAAATGTGGGCTGTCAGTTTTCTAGCTGCAAGCTCAACATTTTTAACACACACACACACACACACACACACACATACATACATACATACATACATACATACATACATACATACATACATAGAGAGAGAGAGAGAGAGAGAGCCAGAAATAACTCTTAACAGGAGATGTTGTCCTTATACTGTGTCTCAATAAATTAAATTTGTATGCCATAAATGTAGAAACATGATCACTAAGCCCCTAATAGTTTTAGGTGGGTCGTCAAGAGCTTTGTTTAACTATGATTCATGGTTAACCTTATTATTGATGATTCAGCAGACATCTTTAAGTGGTCTTCAAAGTATAGTATCTATCTTCTCACCCTCCACCACCCGATTTTATCAAAATGTAATTGTGAATTCTAATTTTCTGGTTAAATTAACGGGTTAACAAACAAATCAGCTGCATTTTTATGGAATTTAAAACCAAAGAAAAAATAGATCAGAATTGATGATACTCAAAATTTCTTCTGAGGGCTTGTAAAGACAATACACTAAACTCAGAAATATTTTGGGGCTGCTGTTCTTCTAATTTTCACTTGCAAAGTGAGACTTGATCACTTGACCTTAATACCTTAAATTAGAAATATGCCAAATTCTCCCATCCCTAATTACAGTACACAAAAGGAAGGAAAACAAATTCATATAAAGTAAAAGTTGAATAAATCCCTAAGCTTTATGTTTGCAAAATATGCTTGGGTTAGTAACATGTGAAAATATGTTCTCCTGTTCCTTTAAATTCTACTCCCTTCAGAAGAGATGTATCTTTTTTACCTCATTCTTGGAGGGCTTCAAAATCATTTATTTGTATTTATTAAAATTTTATTTATTGTTCACAGGTGGCAGAATTTGGGGATTAAGTTGTTCCTTTTCTTGTTATGTATCTTTTCTCCATGATTGCTTCTGCTTCTGGATATGAAAAGGCCACATAGAAGCATTCCATCCCAGTTGTTCTCTTGAGGAATAATAGAAAAATGTGATATCAGAGATTTTCATTTTTCTATTCTATCCCAAGGGGCTGCTGGTGAAATGATAGCAGAATTAGATAGGATATTCACTCTCGTTCTTTAGTCACTTGATATCTGAGATACGTCCTTCTACCCTTCTTTGAGGAGTTCATTTTAATATTTTTTTTGGCATGCTGAAAATATGATTCCTTCTGTGGAATGAGAAACATCAAAATGAAGGTTTTTTTCCTGCACTGTACTGATTGATTGATTGATCAAATTTATATGTATGGCCACTTCACGTATGCAACTTTGGGTAGTGCATCCAATTAAATTTGAACACATCTAGAGGAGTAAAAGGCCTCAACTCCTTCCAGAAACTTATAGTGCAAATGTTTAAGGCACCAAAGCTTCTATATGAGCTTCATTTGTGTAGATCTTGCTATTTTAGGTGTTTGTGGTCTATGCATAAATGCCTGCAATAACTTACACCTTTAAAGTTGCACTGGAAGGGAAAGGAGGATTGCACAATGTATTTCAAATTAAAAAGAAGAAGAAGTGTGAACAGATCGAGCAATACCCTGCAACATATCTTAAATTAATTCAAAGTCATTTTCCAAAGCCCCTGAAGGCAGGACAAGAAGCAACGGGTGGAAACTAATCAAGGAGAGACGCAACCTAGAACTAAGGAGAAACTTCCTGACAGTTAGAACAATTAACCAGTGGAACAACCTGCCTCCAGAAGCGGTGAATGCTCCAACACTGGAGGTTTTTAAGAAGAGACTGGACAGCCATTTGTCTGAAATGGTATAGGGTTTCCTGCCTGAGCAGG